GATTTCTAGCTAGCGGAATTTCGAGTAATCTTATTACAGCACGTAACACTGCAAAAACGCATGATCACACGGGGCCCCCCGTGCGCGTCGCCAATGATTTTTTCATAATTTCAAGTTTTCTTTTATTTTTCTTTGTACTGCTGTGTTGTCCCTTTCTTTTTACTACTGTCCCCAGTTCCTGCCTCGAACTCCTGACTAGTACCCTTGTCCTCCTTCTCCCTCTCATCCCCAAATCCTGCCTCACTAGCGACATCCGGCACGCATCGCCCCCCGCACTCTAGCCACTAATCGTTCCATACTCCTCACTAGCCCCCCTTGTTCCTCTTCTTTATCTTGCCCTAATCCATGTCCTCGGATCCGTACCTGAGCCCCTACCTACCGCCATTCCCGACCCCACCAACCACTCACTCGGTACCCCCAACCATGTATTTTAGCTGTTGTGCACTGGGCAGCACTACCCAGCGCTCCTGGCGAAGTGCCAACGGTGTCGGCAAAAGACGCCGCGAAACAGTATGTAGCAGAGAAGTTAGAGTAGCAGCCGAGCGTTCGCAGATCGTAATGCCGGCCGAGCCGGGTTTTAGCAACTGCCGGGAATCGAACCACTCCTCTTCACATCCGGACGCAACGTGCTCTCCACTACGGTAGCAGCTCGTGTTGTTCCATAGATCAATTACAGCAGTTTACCTGATTTGTATGTATACCAAATGCATACTTGCCGACCTGCACTATTGTTTTTGGTATCATATGCAGCAAACTACCAATTTTTATCGGTTTTTCGCAGGAACTGCGCACAAATTTGGCTCAGAAACGATAATTCTGAAACATACTGGAAATGTTGGCTGTCCCATGTCTTAAATTCGAGTGTGATGCATGCGTGATGCGATGTGACGACGTGCCTGCACCACCGCTTGTCGCAGAAACGATACTTGTTGCTCGGCCACGACGCTTGCTAGCAGCACCAGTTCCCCATGACAGAGAATCGTCCCTTAAAAGTTTTTATTTTTAATACAAACAGCGAGCACTAGTAAAAAAGCAAGCAGTTTCGGTGCAATCTCATAAACAGCCTCTACCTGAAAAAAAGGCCTACCCTCTCAATACCGCCACATGCTAACAAGTTGTGATAGCCTGAGAACCTTTATTTTCTTTTTACGTTTTTTGTAGCAATCACAGTGGAAGTAATTCTTTACACTGACAAATATTTATGCTTTTTTTTTTCACTTATTTCAACACCGTCCTCAATTTCACATCTAATTTATTTAATTCAGTTGCAAACAGCAAGTGCCAACTAAAGCTATGAAATATCGCGACCCTAACAGTTAATATTTTAGACTAGTCTTATGCCCTGTGTGTATAAGACGCCTAATTATGCATACATATTTATAACTACACCGAGTATTAAAAGGTAATACAGAAAAAGGTGGTAAGGTTCTGGGGAACCCAAGCTAAACAGATAGGTCGAGAGTGGTGATAAGCTGTGGTCCTCCCGGCGATGGGAAGGAGCGCTTTTATACCCCAGGGGTCAGAGATTACTAAGATAGCGGAGGTTTAACGAGGGTAGGGTGTCCGAAGTTTGAACCAAGGACAGGGATACTGCGTCGTAGTGACGAAGTTGTTCTTTAACTTACTTTTAACAAAAACCATCAACCATTATTTGATCTATTATACGACAGAAAGTATGTAACTCAGTATCTAAAGTGCCTCACACAACTGCAATTGACTTCTGACGGCAATTCAGTAACATGCGTTCTCTCTCAATAATATTTCTAACAGGCCATCCAGACAATTGGTTTGAGAATTTTATTTCAATAATTTTGCTGAGATTTACCAAAATATCGAGTACTGTACCAAGCCAGCTAGATCCCTCGTATCCGAGCCTTACACGTCCCTAGTTTTAAAATCTATTTACAGGTAAAGCAGTTTGCTTTAATGAAACAAAAAAAAAAAAATACCTGATGTAAGCAAATACTTCCTGATGCGCATACTGATGACTTCCGGATGAGCGTTCTTCGCCTGAAAACAAATTACAGAGCAATTTTTTTTATTCAGGAGCACTCATTTCAGCTGATTTGAATATTTTATGGTTATGAAAAAGGTTGTAACATAAAGTAGTAATTAAAAGTAAAAAATAAAAATTGAATTGGAATAAAAACTAAATTACACACTTCTCATTTTAATCATTGATATTGTCTCATAAAAAGTGAGCGAAAAGGAAGAACAGTCGATCTGCGACAGAAAAAGTAAGAAAAAAAAAAACAAACTGTAGTTGAGTCTGCAAGAATCATTGACATGCTGTGAAGATGGACTCAAATCACGATCGCGATTACACATCTGAGTAACAAAAACACGTCCACTGGCACTATCGGTGAGCGATTTGGCATCAATTACAGAACCGGCCAAGGCAATAGTGCTAGCCACTTCTTCACAATAGCTCACAGCTTCCTGTCCCGAACATACTGTTTGCACACTCTGAAAGCAATCAAATTTACTGTTAAATGTAATCTTCAAATTTTTATTTCAGTACTTTCGATCAGCTGATGTTTCATCGTCGCGTTTCTTCTCGTCACCGACCGAACAACAATAAAACATTAATGGAAATTTCGCTATGGCGCCATAAAAGTACCACAAAACCTGATCGTCCCGTTTCTCCTTGGCACTGGCCGAACAACAACTCTCCTCACCTAACAAGCAATGTGGTACCACAGAACATTAAATGGAATGAATGGATTGTCGTGGGACCAGGAAAAGAGGAAATGAAATAGATTGTGAAACGCATATGTGTATTATAAAAAGTTAAGAAGATCTAAGGAGGACATGCTGGGAAGCTAACTTGAAACTGGCTCTCTGTGTTTCTTCCCTAAGCTGCAAACACAGACAGTATGCGGTGTGGATTGGGGCGGGAGTCGTCAGTGCAGCCCCAATCCACCATTTGGAAATTTTGATAGCATAAATGCGTGGTAAGAGAAGAGCACAGGAGAGAAGGAAGATAGGAAAGAATAGAAGGTGGAAGGCAGAAGCAATGAGGGGAGGGGGGATTTCGTTGTGGCACAAAAAAACATTCGAAAAAATACTCCTTAAAATGTATCAGAAATCAAATTACCTTATCATCGTTGTACTGAGAACCGGCCATTGCTTTAGTACTCGCTTCTTCATAGTTGCATTTTTCGCCTATGCTAGTAATCCCTGGAAGTAAACAGGGCAAATGCAGATTTTTCAAGCACAAATTCAATACTGGCAAACCTTTCATGCTTTACTAAACTCCCGTGATGATAGCATTAATAAACTTCAGCTTCCTCCCTTCCATCTTCCTCTCCCCCAAATTCACACCCGCCCTCTCCCTTTTCTTGAAAATGCCCATAAAAAGCCTTACTGAATGCGGTTTGAGCAAACATGTCTGTGACATGCATGCCAAATTGGTACCGAAAATTCTGGATATTTTAAAAAAATCAATTTTTTCTACAATGATGTTTTGGCCCAACATAAAAATTATGTCTGGTTTTCGTATCTTTGGTACTTGGTTCCAACTGTTATTTGACACCTCCATACATACATACATACATACATACATACACACCTGCAAACACATCCGTACACACCCTGCATAAGTACACGCACATATACGCACACACCATATCTTCGAAAATCGATTGATTAATAATGTTTCACAAGTATACAAACACCTAATTTGCTACATGACTGTTCACCGTTACCTGATTCAATGCTTGGCCTTCGACGGCATAATTCCGCTTGTACCTGTAAACGACTGTGCACTTGTTGCGCATTTGAGAATCCACTATTTACAGACATTCGTGTTGTCAGTGATGTTCCATCTTGTCGTTCCATATCGTTCAGTAGGGGCGATTTCTCACGGCTATCTGGAAATAAGCAACTGGGAAAAAACTGCAAAAAACTGCCCAGACTATAAATTTTTTAGGCGTTTCAAGCATTCCACATCAGCGACGGAAGTGAGAAAAAACAACTGGTCGTGGCGAATTATTCCATATGTAGATTTACAGCTTGTGCAAAAATAAATTGGGTAATAGAAAGTTATTATTAACAAAGGACGAAATAAGAAGAATCAAAAAGGAAAGCAGGAAAACAGAAATGAAAATTTATAATTCAATTAGAATTAAAAATTTATCAAAATTATTGTAAAATTATTACAATTGTAAAAAGTGTTAAAAGTTAATGTATTTTAAAATTAAGGTTGTAAAATATTATGATCAAAAACCAACATCCCTTCCCCCTCTCCCTCCCCTCCCCCGTCCTCTCCCCTTCCCGTATTCCCTCCCCTTGAAAAATGAAGGCGATGGAC